TCAACAACAACAGCAACAACCTCAGCAACAACAACCTCAGCAACAACAACCTCAACAACCTCAACAACCTCAGCAACAACAACCTCAACAACAACAACAATACAACCAAACTAAACAGCAACAACAGCAACAACAGCAACAATACGATTACTACAATCAATTTCAACAATCTCAATATCCTCAACAAGGATCTCAAACTTTGCCAGGTGCGCAATTTGGTGTTTATCCTGGTATGGACTATTCCGCTTATAACCAACAAGCTGCAGCTGTCATTAGCTCTCCTGCCGCTTCTCCAGCAGCTACTGCTAACTTTGCTCAATACTCTAGTGCTGCTTCCCAACCAGCTTCAAGTGGTGCTCAAGAAGGTAATGTTGCATCTCAATCTCCAATAACTTCTCAAATTAACCCAAATACTTTACAACAACAAGTTCCAGCTGCTCCATTTGGTTACCCATACTACAACTATTACTACAACACCCCATTCTACGGTAATGGTGCTGGATTAGGTGCCCAAGGTGGATTTGGTAATGTTGCTGCCACTCAAGGTACCCCAACATCCAACTCTAATTCAACCCCAAACAATGGTGTTAATAGTGGTTTTATGGGTGTCGGTAACACCGGTGCTTCTCAATACTATGGACAACCAAACCAATTTGGTAACAGATATCCAGGCTACAATTCATACCCTCAACCAGGTCAAGCCCAATCTGCCCAATCTGGAAACCCATCGAACAACCAAAGTGGCTCTGTCCCAGCTTCCCAAGGAGACGCTAATGATTCTACCAGTGCTAGCAACCAAGCTGGTAACCAACAATCCCAAATCCCACAACAATCTCAACAACCACAACAGCCAGTTATCCCTCAATACGGTGGTTATCAACAATATCCTCAATACGGTGGTTATCAAGATAGCAACCAATATCGTGGCTGGTATTAGGTAAAGTAAATACTATTCAAATATTAAAAAAAATAAATTTAGTCTATTATACATGTGTAGATATGTTGTTGCATTTGGCTACCTTCTTAATGGTGGTTTTCATGCAACTGAACTTCCCAACGTCTATCGGTGAATATCCGATGCATATCTTACATGGACGAAGTTACTGCACGAAACGTGACTTACTGATGTTTGTAACCACATTATTCAGGCCCTTTGGGAGGTGGTGTTTGGGTTCAGCATACATCATCCTACCCACCTCTTTTGCAAATACGTTTTGTTTTTGCATTCTAAGTATAGACGCATGTATCACCTGGTCAAAAATCAGAAGACATCGTAGCCTGCACCAATTCATTTCGTCTACGTCCGCTATTCCCCATAATTGGTCCTTCGATTATGTACTGCTAGGCCAGCATGATCACGCTTTTTCGCACCCAATTTCGCAATAGAATCGCGCATCTAAATGCAGGATCTACAATCCAAATACAACGCCTAGCAATATCATTTCTTAGATATAGGCTTACTACTATGTTTGTGCTTATTTTGCAACTCTTCATCTGCAGTCCCCCATTAGGAATCCTGTTACTCTCTCCTTAAAATATTTTTACTTTCTATACTATGGACACGTTACTAAACAATTGTTATGGATATCTACAAATTCCGACCTCCGATGCCTTTCCTTATCTACAAGCACCAGCCTATTATATTCCTCTTTTACATGCTTCTAGTTCTCCTCACATAGCTGGCACTATTCTATTATGGTAGCCGAAGTCTACTTCGGTATATACACGAGGGTATTTATATCCTTGTAGCCCTGCTCACAGTAAATTCCCGCACTAAGTAATTAGTACTACCGCCTTAGTAATGGGATGAATGCCTCAGTAATTATCAGCACTAACAAATAATTGAGTACAGCAATTTTAAGTGCCATACAATTCCAGGCAGCGTTACGTCCCACTATTTTCAACTACTATATAATTTTGCCTATCCCTTAATTTATTAGTAGTTTTTTTCCCATAGTATATTTTACTACTATTATATATTACAGTATGTATAATATATGAGGTCGCACTATCGAGTATTCACTAAGTATAATTATATTATAACCATATTATACACAATGTTGTAATATACATCATACGTTATATAGTAGACTACAATGTGCATCATAAGTTGTGAAGAATTGAAGTATAAGTTCTTTGTATTTGTTGATTATCTGGTAGCATTTAAATATGGAGTACCAGGTTGCGAAAATGCAGTAGTATGATAATACGAAATTTCACCTATTACAATTTGAGACTGGATATCATACTGGTGTCTTGAATAATATCTTGACTACTAGGATGTAAATGACAGGTCATCCCCTATTCTTACGATACAATCAACATGACCAGTGCTGAACCGAATATGAAGGACTCATGGGTTGTTCGTGTGAGTACCAAAATATCGCGTTTGTTTACACGGATGGTTGTTTGTTTATTTATGGTGAATACTCGAAAGCATATAAACGAGGAAAAATCCTGGTGAGAAAGAAATATAACTTTATACTAACATATAGTTTAAAATGGCCCCAACCGAAAAGAAAAGAACCACCAGAAAGAAGAAGGATCCAGATGCACCAAAGAGATCCTTATCTGCTTACATGTTTTTCGCTAACGAAAACAGAGATATTGTCAGAGCTGAAAACCCAGGTATTTCATTCGGACAAGTTGGTAAGTTATTAGGTGAAAAATGGAAGGCTTTAACTCCAGAAGACAAGACTCCATATGAAAATAAGGCTGATACCGATAAGAAGAGATATGAGAAGGAAAAGGCTGAATATGCTAAGAAAAATGCCGCTTAGGTGGTGATACCTTCTTATTGCTTGTACCATATTATTGTTTGCGAATTCTTTTTTTTAAGATTAGCAGTGCTTAGTTATTGAAAGTGTCGTGTTAGTTAGAATTCCTGGTATATCTATGTGTTATTATTAAATGTATGATTGTTTACTTCATTTTCGTTCGTGCGATTTACTTGTAGAATTCATGTTTGATATCTCCTTTACTAAATATATTCTTGAATTAATATATATATAAGGTACTCTTTGTTATACCACTTCGTTCTGATCTTAGTTTCTTAGACTTGAGACCATCGTTAATGTTAAAGGAAACATTTCATAATTTTATTCTAATTTTAAAAAATTACTAAAAAATTGCGAAAAAACAAGTTTTGCAATCAAAACTTCCATACTAAATATATTAATTGCATATTCAAAAATGATATTATTTGAATATATTTAATGCTATGCTAAAATTTCTATCGTTTAATTAATTTAATAAATATTTTTGGAAAATACCTATGGTATCCCTCGCCAATTTCAAGATCGTAATCATCTTTGCTGAACCCACCGTCAATCAACTTTATTATGTTGTTCACCTCAAGCGAATACATCACACACGTCTTAATTAGCGACTTATACCACTCAATTATACCATTACCTATAAATTGCTCTCCATCGTCATCTTCGATTATCTTGATTATCGACATATAGATTTTTTTGCTATCATTAAATTTATCGATAATTGTTTCAAGGATTTGTTTGATCTTCTCAAGTTTTTGTGAATGGGATAACTTCTTTAAAAAATCTATACTTATGGATTTCTCATACTGTCTATAATGTGGCAAATTAGGCACCCCAACTGAGGACCATGGCTTCATTTGAAGATTGTATATCTTTTCTAGCGAAGTTAATTCAAAAGATGGGGTGATGCTAGTAACCTCTAACGCATGTAACATAATAAATAACATCCTCACACCATCACTTAACATGCGCAAACCCTTATAAGATTCAATGACATAGTTTTTGTTGTAATCACTTATTTTTTCAAGCATCGGCAAATGAATTTTTTGGTGAATTTCATTTTGTTGCTTTAATTTCTGTTTTTTAGGGCCAGATTTTAATTTCTTTATCTTCTTTGGTATAGATGTAGTAATAGAATATGTTCTCAGGTTATTAATTGATTCTATCTGATTAGAGTAAAACTCCGCAATTACCTGAGTCAAGTATGAGATGTACCAATACATCCAACTCATTTCAAATGGCTTGTAAATATTTGTTTCGAAACCACTTAATGCGACTTCTAACATTACATTCAACTTTGTAAGATAAACAAATGACGATAATGGTAATGAAGGGTCATCCCTTGCAGAATCAGGCCCCTCGATTTTATCACCAATCCCATATTGTTGCCACAATTCTAGCTCTAGCGATTCAGAACTAACTTGTAATGTATCCCAGATTACTATACCCCTTGACATAAGCTGTCTCTGTCTACATCTATTGTTCGTGACGGAACTTAAATTGTGGTATATTCCAGTTTCAATATCACTTAACAATTGATTCAACTTAATTAATATATCCTCTTTAGTAGTATTTATATATTCATCAGTACCTTGAATTGATGTCCAAGTATCAGGTTGAAAAATCAGCGATTGCAAACATGATGTATTTTCCATAAGTTTCATACCCATTGATGTTATTGTTTCTCTCGACCCTAGAATCGATTTGTCATCTCGAATTAAATATAACTGGAACAATCCTCTGGAAATTGCATTATATTCCGAGTTTATCTTGTAAGAAATATCATATTTTAAAAATTGATTGAAATGATTAACATTAAGTAATTCGTTTGATTCAATAACGTAGTTATAGATAGATTTAAACATCATTTGTAAATTTTGAAAGCATTCCTCATTTGTAGTCATATATAATTCAGCTGGGATACTTCTATTATTGGAGTCAAACTGTATGAACTTTGAAAAACTTCCACAAGGTAATTTGAAATTATCAAAATCCACTTTCGATAAACTTTCAATATTTTTAAGACCCAATTGCAAGAATTGTATTTCATTTTTAATCTTTTTCTTATCATCATTTTCAAATATTGGGATGGCAATGGCCAATATCAGTTGTATGTCAAGCATTCTGTTCAGAAGTTCAAGATATTCACATAATATTTCTTTCTTCTGACTTTCAATCCCACTTTCTTGATTAAGCCAATGTATTGATTCATTAATTTTTTTGACTATGAATTCAGATGGAATATCAGTCAAAAAGTCTAAATCCATGTTCCTCGTAGTTAGATCTTCTTCTTCATATAACGTATTGAATGCAATATGTAATGATGTACCTACAAATTTAACAAGACCTAAGATAAATGAATTTAACACTTTATGGACTAGCTTCCATTCAACACTGTTTTTGTCATAGTTTTCTTGTTTTGGGAGTCTCTTATTTTCAAATGTACAATCATTCAAACTGCCTTGGTAATTTTCTAACAACGTCTGGACATACCGACATGACATTACAGTTACTGGCAACGAAGAATTATTTAGCCAGCTCGTATACAGCCGGACCAAACCATTGATTATCCCAATTACCTTATCAACGTCTTGAGGACAAGAAGTGTCAAAATTATAGTCTATTTCACTTAAAGGTATCAAACCAGTGTCTAATTTCTTATTACCAATTTCGACAGCTCTTGTTCCTTCCAACAAATTAAATAATGGGGACTGAACAACCTTATTATCGTGAATAGTTCTTACAGACTCGAAAAATTCACCTGTAATATCCACATAATCGACTAGATTTAGATCATTCATAGCTACATGTTAGTAAATTAGCTTAGATAATTTTGAATGTACACATTGTGTCATTGAAAAGTTACATACCATGATGCAAATTCAGCATGTTATATTATAATCTTAAAGAAGTATCTGTATATATCACTGGTAACCTTCAAAAGTAACCTCTCAGAAAAGTTTTAGTATGTATTCAACCTGTATATTATAATACAATAGAATATAAAGGTAAAAAAATATTATTTTCTCACATAAGGGCGATTGGTGTAGTGGTTAACATATCTGCCTTCCAAGCAGGTGACATGGGTTCGATTCCCGTATCGCTCATTCTTTTTTTGGATCATTCTTACGCATCATTTTGATTATTTGTTTATAATTCGTATATATGATCTATTGATATAATATAATACTTCTTTTTTTTTAAATACCTTACAAACATACATATTACATGACCACAGAGAAGCCTACTCTAACATCTATCAAGAAGATCAATGATCTTGATAGCATAAGATATGCAATGGCTCATGTTTTTCAAGACGCCCAATTAAGTTTATCGGGACATAGGAAATTAGTTATTGTCTTGAAGAACATACAGCAACGAGCAATTAGTTTGGGATATGAAGAAGGTTTTACATTGAAATTTGTTAAGCTACTCAATAAAATATTGCCTTTGAAAAAGGGAGAACAAGTGGCAGATAGAGTAGCCAAATTTTGCTCCATGTTTGTCTCATCGTTGTATAAGGACGAGGAAATTGTGAAAGACAAAAAGAAGAATGGTAAAGAAAACGACAGCGATATGTCATCCGAAGATTCTGATTCTGATTCTGAGGAAGAGACACCTGCTGGAAGGTTTGTTGATTATTTATTGCGCCATTTATTAAGAGGTATTCAAGCTAAAGATAAAAATGTGCGGTACAGGGTCGTTCAGTTGTTGGCTTACATTGTTAATTATATCGGAGAGATTGACGAAGAACTATTTAAAGCCTTACATTGGTCATTAAATCGAAGATTATTTGACAAAGAAGCAAATGTAAGAATTCAAGCAGTTGTAGCTATATCTAGCTTCCAGTATATTAATTTAACCGAGGAAGGTGAATATTCAGCAGACAATCAGGTTAACAAAGCTACCCAGAGCTTGTTGATAGCAATCCAAAATGATGATAGTGCAGAAGTTAGAAGAGCTGCATTGTTGAATTTAGCCAAAAATCAAGTAACTATTCCATTTCTTTTGGAACGTGCGAGAGACGTAAATTCCATAAATAGAAGATTAGTCTACTCTAGAATCTTAAAAGAATTGGGAGATTTCAGGGATATTGATTTTCAATTACGAGAGAATTTATTAAAATGGGGATTGAATGACAGAGATGATAGTGTTCAAAAGAGTGCAATAAAAATGTTTAGTAGTACCTGGTTAGATATTGTTGATAATGATTTAATTGAATTAATCGAAAACTTGAAAGTTGTCGACAGTGATATAGCTGATACTGCAATGATGACTTTTTATAGAGAAAGAGCCGATAAATTATCCAGCATTGAAATTTCGGAGAGTAGTTGGAAAGAATTGACAACTGAGAAAGCATTTTTAATACGAACGTTTTATGAACATTGCAATGAAAACAATTTATACGACTTGATAGAAAAGAATTTTCCAGAATCTATTGAATTGGCTGATTTACTATACAAGTATCTTAATTTGAGAAAGCAAATTATAGATTCAAATAGTGAACTCATCGAAGCTTATGAATCATACAAAACATCTTTACAAGAAGTTGATTCGAAATCACAACAGATCCAATATGAAGAACATGAACTATTTCAAGATATTGACAACATTGAAGATTCCAAGGAAAAAAAGCAAAAGATTTCACAAGCAAAAAAGCTCAAAAAAGAATTTCAAAAGCTCGCTAATGAAAAGAAGCAGTTGATGGAAGGTAACAAAGAGATGGATGAAGAGTATACTACATTTCATGAACAATTAAAGGATTTAGAGTTTGTTATCCAGCAATTATTATTGATTTCCAAGCAATATGATTTCAGCGATGAAATCGGGAGACGTAAGATGTTGCAGATTATTAGATCCTCCCTCGCAAACGATAAATTGACTGATAAATTAATTGAAAGCTCTCTAAAGGTGTTGAGAAAAATTTCTATAAATGAGAGAGACTTCTTAGCAATGTGTACAGAAATTGTGACTGATATTCGTGACTCTTATATGGATGAGAATGACGAAGATACTTTTCACTCTGCTATTTCCGGTTTCCGCAATAGTGATAGTGAAGACGAAGAAGACGAAGAAGATAATGATAAACAAGAAATTGGCGATAATACAGACGGAAGTAAAAAGGGAAGCCAGCCACATAAGAAGCGTAAGACGGAACCTAAACAGGCCCCAGATGATATTATAATTCAATGCTTATTAATTACTCAGCATTTATTAGAACTTACTGAAGAATCATTGGAGAATAATTATTCTTTAGGATCTTTAATCGAAAGCTTAGTACGCCCGGCAGTACTAAGAAATGAACAGCCAGTTATAAGATCTTTGGGGTTGAAATGTTTAGGATTGTTTTCATTATTAGAGAAACAGCTTGCGATTGAGAACTTATACTTATTCGGTATGGCAGCCACGAAAGCTGATGAAGAATTACGTATAATTTGTGTAAAGATAATTGTTGATATATTATCTACTTACGGAGTTTCAGTCTTGGATATTGAGGGAGGAGTAGATTCTCTTTCTTTGGCAAGACTATTTTATAAAATCTTAAGGATATATGAGATGCCGAACTTACAGTGTGTTGTTGCTGAGGGACTATGCAAATTATTTTTGGCTGACATATTGACTGATTTTGGTAAGAGTGAAAAACTTAATGCTAATGAGGATGAGGAAGAGGCAATTGACGAAGATGAGGATGAGGATGAAGAAGAAGATGACGATGATATGGAAATGAAGGAAAGGAAAGCTAGAAAAAGGGGAGCTAGAGAAAAGAAAAAGGAAGAAGACCAAGAAAAACAATTATTTGAAACTTTGATTTTAACGTATTTTCATCCTTTGAATACAAGTAATCATGCGTTGAGACAAACTCTAGCTTTTTGCATTCCTGTCTATGCCTTTAGTCATCCAACTCACCAGGATAAAGTCGCTAGTATAAGTGGAGACTGCTTCTTTAGAATGTTTAGAGAAGGTGGTGAGTTTTCAAAGTATGATAATATTGCACCGGCTACTTCAATCATTCAACAATTGATTCACTGGTGTGATCCAAACAACCTTGTTAATTTGACGCAAGTTGAGATAAAAAAGTCACCAGCGCATTTTTGGCAATCTATGGGATTTTTGCAAGCGATCGAACAAGACACACCTAAGAATATTAAGAAAATCATTATAAACAATTTAAACAAGCTTTACATCACAGAGGAGCTTGGGTCCACGATCCTAAAAGGTCTTTTAAACGCAATAGAGGATACAAAGTCTATGATCGAGTCTAGCCAGCATGACCCTGACTTTATATTTGATGCCTTAACTGAAAAAAATTTTGATAAATTCCATCAATCGATAAAGGACTTGATCTACAAGGCTGAACAAATTGAAGCCGAAAGCTCGAAGAATGAACAAAAGAACCTGTTTATCTCAGATAAGAGTTTTCAACTGACTAATTCTCTAGTTATAGACAAAGATGCATTACGTGAATTGGACGAGTCCCCCGAAGATAAGCATGAAAAATCAAGCCCGGGTGAAGCTACAGCATCAAACGAGGATGTAGAAAGGAGGGAAGAGAGTTTACACGAAATTGACAAAATGCTTGAAGAGGAAGAAAATGTCGATTATAATCTCGCAATAGATACAGATTAGGTATTACTATGTAAGAATCAGATACTCCATATTTTTGCATACAGCCCCATAAATGAACGACTATATGTTGTTGTAGACGCAGTAATTACTTATTTAAGATTGTAAACGACGAATAAATCTTATACGACGGGAACGACCGAGTATTTACGATCGCAAAAAAAATTTAACGAGAAGCGCGTGTTCAGAAATATAAATAAAACTGAAAAAGTGTTCACTGTGAAAATTTCAACTTCTTTAGTTAAGAACATCTCTGTCTAAGTCTAAACTTAAAAGATTCAACTCTTGTTTCTTACCTTAATTATTTAATAAATACCAACATGCCTACTGCAATACAATTAGCTGAAAAGAACCATGAAAAGGATTCTAAATTTGCCAAAGCTTTGCATGGTGAATCTTACAAACAGAGTGGATTAAAAGCTTTAATGTCTAAAGCTAAAGATGCCTCTCAAGTTGCTAATGACGCTTACTTCAAACACTGGGATGGAGGTGTCACCAAGGAAGACGAAGACAAAAGATTAAATGACTACTCTAACTTAACTGCTCATTACTACAACTTGGTTACCGACTTCTACGAATATGGATGGGGTTCATCTTTCCACTTTTCTCGTTACTACACCGGTGAAGCTTTCCGTCAAGCTACTGCTAGACATGAACATTTCTTGGCCCACAAGATGCAAATTAACGAAAACATGAAGGTTTTGGATGTTGGTTGTGGTGTTGGTGGTCCAGCTAGAGAAATCTGCAGATTCACTGACTGCTCTATTGTTGGATTAAACAACAATGACTACCAGATTGAAAGAGCTAACCACTATGCTAAGAAATATCACTTAGATGATAAGTTATCTTTCGTCAAAGGTGACTTTATGCAAATGGACTTCGAACCAGAATCGTTCGATGCTGTTTACGCTATTGAAGCCACTGTCCACGCACCAGTTTTAGAAGGTGTTTACTCCGAAATCTACAAGGTATTAAAGCCAGGTGGTGTTTTTGGTGTTTACGAATGGGTCATGACTGATAATTACGACGATGAAAATGAAGAACATCGTAAAATTGCATACGGTATTGAAGTTGGTGACGGTATTCCAAAAATGTACAAAAGAGAAGTTGCTGAAAAGGCTTTGAAGTCCGTAGGATTTGAAATCGAATACGAAACTGATTTAGCTGACAAAGAAGATGACATTCCATGGTACTATCCTTTATCCGGTGAATGGAAATACGTTCAAACATTCAGTGATTACTTCACTATCTTTAGAACCTCTAAAATTGGTAGAACCATTACTACCGAAGCTGTTGGTTTAATGGAAAAACTCGGTTTGGCTCCAAAGGGTTCTAAACAAGTCACTAACGCATTAGAAGACGCTGCTATTAATTTAGTCGAAGGTGGCCGTCAAAAATTATTCACACCAATGATGTTATACGTTTGTAGAAAGCCAGCAAACGAAGATCTTTAAACACTTTAGTTCTATATGCTTAATTATATATTTAGATGTATTTCAATTAATTTTCCTTATATTTCATAGATCAAAAATATATTATTGAAGAGTTTTGTACAGCCTAGTGCGGCGCGAGGTTGCTTTAAAATGTGAAGCAACTCTTCATAGAACAACTATAGTAGATTCACATAAAAAGTCTTGATAAATCAGATTTAAAATAAGATTTATAGAATAAGATGACTCTCACCAATCCAAACTTAGAGGGCTACTATGTTGCTCGTAATATGTGGATGTTGTATTACAACAAATCCGAGAATAACTACATAGCACCAAAGAAATGTTCAGGCTGTTATGATGATAGAAAATTTGTTATTTGGTCAGTTTCTGTTGCATCTCAAGCAATTGTTGATGCTGCTAGAATTTATAAGGAATTCGTACCATTAATTGATCCGGCAATCAATATTTTTAGTAAATATAAAAACAACCATTTAAAGGGATATTCTGCAGCAGAAAATGCTGGAACAGATGAAGATATCTATTATGACGATGACGCACAAGTTGCAAGTGCAATGATTACTGCCTATGAGGTTACGGGTAATAAAAAGTATTTGGACCAAGGTAGGGAGTTAGTTAGATTTTTAATGGGCGGGTGGAACGACAACCCTGATGCGAAGACAAAAGGTGGAATGAAATGGCATTTAACCAATGCTTACTTGAACGCATGTACCACAGGAGAAACTGCTAAGGCATGTTTGCAAATTTCAAAATTTATTCCTAACGAGGCAAAAATCTACGTGGACTTCGCTGCCAAATGCATTGACTGGCAAATAAAAGTCTTGCGCAGCAAAGATGATGGTTTGATAATGGACGGTATTCAGGATACTGCCACAGAAGTAAATGATACCAAATACTCTTACAATACAGGCACTACTTTATCAGCAGCTTCATTTTTGTATAGTATTACAAAGGAAAAAAAATGGAAAGATATTGCTGATGACTTGGCTAAAGCTGCTATTAACAGAAATGTGTTCTTCTACGATCGTGATTACAGTGATGATAAAAGATATTGGAGGGACGCTTCATACTTTGTACAGTTATTAATCGAAGGATTGGCAGACTATTTGCTATATATTGGCAGTGAAGCTCCTGTAGGATTACCCCAAAGAATTGAAGAAGAGATAAGAAGACATTTGATTATGTTTTACGAATACATGCGAGACCCAAAGGATGGCTTGTATATTCAAAGTTTTGAGCCACATCTTACTTACAGAGATGTTTATGATTCTAAGTACAAGAAAGAGTTTGGAGAAAGAAAGGGCTGGTCGCTTAAAAATGAAGATAAGGATGGAGATGGAAATCCTCAAAAGTGTTTAATTGGGTGTGGTTCTGCAGCTAGAGTATTTTTTCAGGGAGCAAGGGTTATCCCAAAAATAGAATGAATCATACAAAAGGTGTCTATCTCTTTTCATATTTTTATAAACTATATGCTTGGTGAATATAAATGCAATCAGATCTTAGACCTTTAGTTTTGGCAAGTTAAAAGCAGGCGTTGAAGGTATAGCGAAAGATGGTCTTTCAATAACAACTATACCATTACCAAACACATCAACCATCATAATCGGTCTATATTTAGTCGTCAACCAAAATGGTTTTGTAGTGTCATTGACATCAGTTGATTCATCATTTTGAATCTTTTGTCTTAATCTATTTATTTGACTTTGCTTTAATGAAAGCTCTAATATTTCGGCATTATCTTCAACTATATCTTGGTTACCATCGAAATCATTTTCCTCGTCATTATTATTATTGTTCTGAATAGTAAGTCCATCCCTGTTTCTTTTTTTATTAGTGACATTTGAAGTATTCTGGTAGGTCTTGTTAATTGGTATGTTAACAGATAAGTCAAAAAAAGACAACCATGTCGAGCCATAAATCCATATTTTGGAGGATTCACTAGATGACTCCATAAATAACCCTTGAGGCTTATCTTCTAAAGTTAAAAATTGTTTTGGTAAGAATTCCGAGTTTCTCTTGGACCACGGCGTCAATAAAGTCTCAACTGTAGAATCAGTATTACTTTTTATGTAGAACTCGTAAAGCTTATTCTCTTCAGTTAAAACCAATAACGTATTTTTATTGGTAAAACTTACTAAGTGAGGTAATGAGGACAATTTAGTCAAAACGTAAGGAGTCTCATCTACTTCCAAAGCCAAGATTTCTATAGAACAGTTGAATCTTGATATTGCCAAGTACTTGGAATCCTTAGAAATTGCTAGATTTTTAATACTGGAATTGTACATTAATTTTGATTTTTTGTCAACTGTTGAATTCACAGTTTCAATTTCATTTTCAAATGAAACTGTTTGATTTTCGTAATCAACAGTGAACTTAAGAATGTCTTCTTCAGGTGTCAAGACCAATAATTTATTATTTGAATAAAATTCAACCTTTTTTGCTCCGCCGAATGAAGTATCAAATGCTTCATCTCTGATTTTAGAAACATTTAGCTTATTATTGCTACCATTTGGTTGTGACAATGTGAAAACCTTCAAAGATGTCAATCTTGAAACAGCTAATAGAGTAGCATCTTCATTAATACTAACACTGGTTATATTTTCATCGTCAGCCAACGTCAATTTTGCCACTAATTTATGTTTATTAGCGGATTCTTCATCACTGAATACCCTCCAGATTTTAATACATTGATCTTGCCACATTATAATTAAGTTTTTGGAAGAGTTAATAACAACGTTTGGTTTTTGCTGGCTAATTGCTAGTTTTCTATACTTTCCATCATGGAACTGTTGAACTGACTGTATGACAACAGATCTTTCGGCACCACCACTTATTAAGAAATTACAGCCTTTACTTTCGTAAATAGACATTGATCTAACATCATTGGAATGTAACAATCTACTGAAACTATGAACCCATTTTGAGGTTTTATTCTTGTTAGTTATCAAATCGAATTGGTGAATCTTACGATCAACCCCAGCCGAGAAGAGTTTTTCTTTTGTAAAGTCGCTCGTTAAGCATAAAACATCTGCTTCATGAACTTTAAAACTTTGCAAGAGCGTAAAATTATCCAAATCCCAGAATTTAATTGAACCAGTTGAATCTCCACTGACTATTTGACGTTTTTGAGGTAAGACTAACACAGACCATACTAATGTACTTTCAGTTTTAGATTTATCGACTCTCATCGTACCCATTAACCTACCTCTTGTCTCACCTGAAGCAGACCAACATCTCAATCTGGCATCAGCACATCCACTTACTAATTTTTCATTCCCATACCATTTTATACTCAAGATTCTCAGGTCTTGTCTCTGGCAAATCAAATCATGCTCCAATGACCCTGGTCCTCCAGAAATATCAACAATAACTGCTGAACCATCATCACACCCGACTGCTAATTTGTCACCATTTTCATTAACATCGATAGACCAAATAACTCCAGCATTACAATCATAGTTAATAATTGGTTTTCCTGTAGCTAAGTCCCATTCAGTTATGTACGTAGATCCTCCGATGGAGAATAATCTTGGTGATGGATCATCCGTAGTAGTGGACCAACATAATCCTTCAATGGAGCGTCCGCGAGATCCTGGTAAGGTTAATTCATGCGTCCAGTTATACTTAGGATTCCATATTTCAATGTCCCCGTTACTTCTACCTATGGCTAAACGTAAATCATTGGAAGCGAACTGTGACAATGAGGACGAATGTGAAAACGCTGTGGCTGTAATAGTGTGAGGTGTATAGTCCACAAAACGACAACGATGAATATCCATATTTCACAATCTTCAATGTTTTGACTATTATATACGGAAATATATCCTTTAAAAATCTTATTAGTACAGTACTGTCTTCTGTATGTATTATACTCATCTCGAAATTTTTCAACCGAAAAAAAATTGATCATGTGACTATACATACTAAATATTGGGACATAAGACTTTATCATATATTGCAACTAATTATTCTTGGGTAGGCAGTTATACAAACCCGACGAAGCTATTTATAATGTTTAATAAGCGGATGAACCATTTATTTTCATCCGTATTCAATATCATATTTATAACCAATTCTTTCTTTGGATGTTTCAGATTATTTATTGGTTGTTTGACAATCGTCTGCTTCACTATTACATTCTTCTTAATACACCACACAATCAACAACAAAGCGAGCAAGCTGATAGAGAAATTTTTTGCAAACTTCAAAGCATTTTTAGATACTAACTTTAGTATTTGAACGAGCCGGCGTTTCAATCTTGCTTTTGCATCAATATCCAAATCGCTTTCGGATTCACTATGGTCCTGATATTTAGCCAATCCCCTGTGTGAGGCTGACGGCTTTTTGTGCAAATATTCTCTTGATAGCTTATTGATTACCAAATTAATCTCTCCTTGCCATGTTTTAAAATCCTCCAAGCTTACAGCTTGACTATTTGCAGGCAACGAATGAATAGACTTAGGATCCATTTTCTGATTTTCAGCCGCTGGCAACGAATATACCGAAGCAGCAACATTATTAGGGTTTGTCCCAGTTTGCTTTTGTGCTTGCTGTTGTTGCCTCTGTTGCAGGACGTAGTCATTGATGGATAACATAGTATTCTTCCTTGAGTGGGAATATATTTTCTGAAGGTTATTTCTATATTGTAGGTTTGACACTGACGCTGAATAGTTGCTTGGTAATGGCAACGGGGTCGCAGTCGAATATCTATCGGACTGAGCTTGCGAAAACAGTGGCGAGTGGGATGGTAGAGGTATTTGTGGGTGATCATATTCTTCTTCTGGAGTGTATTGTAAATCTTTAATCTGGTCCCATAAATACTCCAATTCACTCAACAACTCTCTTGCTTCCAATGTACCACTGGCATACACCTTCATGGTATCAATAAGATATGATATATAGCGCCTCTTAGCCTCGGTCTTGGATAACCCTTCTTCACGTTTCCAGGCATCCCATTTTTTCTTAGCTCCTTCGTCTTCCAAGCTGAATCCCATTGGACGTGGCATAACTCCCTCAACATTACCTTCCGTAGCTTGTTTATACAATCCATATAGTTTTATTCTGTTCTCTGCCGGAGGCCGAGGTAATGTCCCATAATTAGACCTGGACGATAACGCTCTAATGGTAGTAATTGCCTTAACAAAGACACGATCTAGAATGGTTAGTTAATTGTTCTGAAATATTTTAAACCAGAATGATGAATTTACTTACCAATTGAATCTGACATGAGTTTCTCCTGCTACTTCTAGAATTTCTCAATTATTGCTGTTGAGTGTATTTTTCTATTAAATCAACCGATAATCGTTCTGTAGTATAATTTCTCGATCCAATAATTAGGATTTATGGAAATGTAATTGTTAATGTTCACTTCTTTGTTGCCTTCGGAGTATTTACTAGCCTATAGACATCAATTTTTAAATCTTGTTTACTTTGAAATTGTGGAAGTGGGGGAAATGTAACGCACGTGAGATCTAAACATGAAAAACTGCTTCATTAGATGGGCTGAAGATTAACAAGTATAAGTCCTGTCAAGATTAGACCATGTATCTAACTTATGCGGAACATTCAAAGATCCAGAGGCGTTTCCAATATATATCAGGAGGTTTTTAGATTATAGGGATTTATTTAAGTGTGAAAAATGAAGTATATTTTTATCAGCTTTCCTAGACGTTATATTCAGTGACAATGAGTATAATCATGTTGTGATGAACTATCAAGCCAGTTTCTGCTACAGATATCGATAGTTAGAGCCTTTGCATAACTGGAGTTTCCTAATGATTACAAAAAATATGACCTCTCTTAAGCAGAACATAAATAAAGTGGAGGATATTTAATCAATTGATTTTTGCAATAAGATTTGAAATAACAAAATTACATTCAAGAACATGATTTTTGATGATTATGGAATAATATTGAAATCTAACCCATCTAATTATGGGTTCCAAAACAACGAAGCTACGATATTGAGAATGGTCATTCAGGATACGAAGCAAAAGATCCAGGATGTGGAATCAAAGACTTATAAAGATGTTTTTGATGCTGTTCGCAAGGATAAGCCAAAACCCATTTTGACAAAAAAATTGTTCCAAAAGACTCGTATGTATATGTCTCCTTTCTATGAACGTGGCGAGGAGCTTATGAAAGGAATATGGGAAAAAGAGGTTTCAAGGAATAGAATTCAGCATTTACGATTAATTAACATCGTACTTAGCATTGCCTCTGCCAGTATGTGGATTTCTATGTCTGAAACTTACGAACTGCAAATGCAGAGAGGGAGTAATAGCTTGGCTAGTATAATTATAAAAGCAAGGAATTATCTTGAGACACCCAATGAAAACTTTCCCCTTCCAGAGCATCTTCTAGCTGCATGGAATAATATTTACGTAGAAGAGCGTGCAATAGCGAAGGAGCTTTACAACCTTCAGCTGTTATTTCATAAATGGCAATTGTGGTTATACCCGTGGTTGGCTATGTTTGACGTTGCTTATCATTACTTTATCACGATTGAAGGAGAACAGAGGTACAATTTTTACCTCCCTAAAATAATGTCTGAGATAAGGATATATATGGCTGAGTTCAAGGAACAGGAAACTCGCAAGCGTATGCTTTTGGCACTGGAAGATCTTGATAATGCAATCCGTGGAGTGAAACGGGCACATGATAAAGTGTGAACTGGTCTTCTAGGAAAGCGATAATCTGACGAGTTTAAGTTCTTCTCTACGACAGAATTGATCTTCGATCCATTATTCACTAGCGATTTATATGATGTACCACAATTATGGTCCAAAATATAAGAACACGCATTAATTTCAGCATCTGAAGTATCTATGCTAGGTAACTACAAATATAACTACAATTCGACATATAGAATGATTTCAGTGTGAACCTGTTTATTTTATGTTAATCCATCGTGGCAACAGCTAATAAGATGAAAGCTAATGAAATGGACCAATTGTACCCATATTGGTAGAGTACAATGGTGAGTAGTCAGCTTAAACTTTTCTAGTTTGCACCAAAATAGGAACCCAATATAGCATTATTAAGTAGCATATAGCTCAAAATAAAGATTAGGCACCAGAGTGTTGGCAAACATGCTTTACAGAGATCGAATTGTCATAATGATGGTTATTCTTTTCTCATCTGAAATCATTCTCACATCCTCATAGAGATATTACAAAAGTCTTCGGAAATTAAGCTCAGATGAACTTGAACGATAATATCAATTAAACCCTATTAAAACACTTTTGTACATAACTTAGTTTTCTGGAACTATAATTGTGTTAGTAAATTGAACTGAAAAAATTCTTGTGAAAAATTGGAACTTGACACCCAAGCAAATGTATACCAGATACACATGCCCGGGAGTCAAATCATATTAGACATACCATCAATTTCACCATCGTTGATGGCTTCAATAATGTCATGTGGGTTTTTACCTTCAACACGACAACCAACTGATTGAGCAGTACCTAAGATTTCTTTAGTAACTGAAGCTAAGGTCTTACCGAAAGACTTTTCTCTCATTTGTCTGGCAATTTCGTAGATTTCTTCTAATGGAATGTTACCGGAGTGCTTGACGTTCTTTTCCTTCTTTCTGTCTCTTGGGGCTTCCTTTAAGGCAGTGATGACTAAAGATGAAGCAGATGGAACAACAGAAGCAACAGCTTGTCTGTTTTGGATTCTCAATTGAACGGTAACCTTAATACCTTTGAAGTTCTTGGTGGCCTTGGCAATATCTTCACCGACCTTCTTTGGGGATAAACCTAAAGGACCGATCTTTGGGGCTAATGCAGAAGAAGCACCAACTTCACCACCGACGGCTCTTAAATAAAGGAATTTAACTTCACTTGGATCGAATTTTGGAGGCATCTTGAACTGGTTATACTATAGATATAAAAGCCTAAACGGTATTATAGAGTTTTTAAATAAATTAAATTTCACTAAGTAAGTCTGAAATTTTTTTCTTCCGCTGTGCTCGCTGTCCGCTCTGCCTACAGTGTCGATGAGAAAAAGCAGTCACAGAACACAAAACCTCGCTGAGCTCTAGCGACAAATCGACACATTAGAAAAAAGCTGTCGCTAAAAAGAACACTTATGTCGCGACAACTCATCGTGGGAAATCTTAGGGGTACAACCCTGATAGTATATCATCTAGTATAGACTTTTTTGAGCGATCAGTTGTGTGAGATAACTTCAGTATGATTGTAGTTTGACTATGGCGAGACTGAAATACTATGATATACGGTATTATACCAAGATGGAGGATAGAAGTGAAAATGTATTTCTGTTTCTGGGTCCAGTTTACAGTAGACGGTTGTTGCGGTATGACAAGGGTTCATGGATGTTTGCGATGGTGTAAGGATGTATATCATGCAGCTCTAATCTCTAGCAGATCTTATATGGCCTGGAGCGAATGGCTGCAACTCCTAGTGCATGTAACCAGTGTACTATTTGGGGGCAATCAAGTTGTCAGATCGTGGACCAACCTACCTACAAGACTACATTTACAAACATTGCGCTTTTTAATTGTAAAATCTTACATTTAAATATTCTTTGTCCCATACTATTTTGTATGAATCTAAAAATTCAGTACTTCTATCATAGTGTTCCACATTATGCATTAGCGCGTTTGCTATTATGTTTGATGCGATCACAACGTGCCACCAGGGACATCGTCACCGATACGGGAATCTTCGTACAATTCGCTGTCGTTGTCGTCCGCAGCAGTCGCCGCTAGCTGTCTAAGCATGATTGCCGGGTGTTTTCCTAGTTCTTGGAGTTCTTTGAATATGATAACCGGCTTTTCTGCCAATTTGAGTATTCTTTCTTTGTCACCATAACAGATAACTAGCACATACTTCAGCCAGTCGTCACGCGGAATATGGTGACGCTTCATTGCTTGTTGTAAAATTTTTAAACACGAGTCTTCTGATGATGCCCGCAATTGTTTTAAGGGCTCATTACTGGCTGAGACCGATGCATTAGCTGTTGAAGTGGTATTTACTGACCCCAGCGACGATGAATGCTGCTTTAAAGGTGGTGGCTTTGCAGTGGTTGCTGTATTAACAGAACTCGTGGACCTGCTTTCAACTATTTTTGGCTTGTTTCTGTTACTGAATGACGAATTGGCTCTCAGCAAGGTGAAATCGGGCTGACTACGATCTTGCATAACAGGTTTAGCCACAGAATGCTGTACCACTTTTCCGGTTCCCATCGACAACAAGGAGCCTGAAGAAAACCTATTGAAATTGGGATGGTTGGGGCTTGTCAGACCTGAATTTCTCTTTGTTACTGTAGTGTTCACACTATCACTCCGTACTAATGCTGGTTGCTGTGATTGTTGACTTACTGAAGGACCCAGTTGTTCAGTAAACGATGACGCACTTGGAGATTCTATGGGTGCTGATCCAGGATCTAAGGTAGGTGTAGGAAGTGGCTTCGATTCTTTTACAAGACGGATTATTGGAATCATATCAGTTTTCAATTTATTAAAGTTCTCGTTCAATCTCTTCATATCAAGTTGTGTACCCGGCGACACTGGTGATGGCATCGACGATCTATTCTCCCGATATGTTTCATTCAACTTGATCAACATATCTTTCATCAACACGGTCGCTAAGGTCAACGACTCGAGCCCAATACAATTATTGTTAATATTGAGGTTATTAAATCGATATTCTGGATCATCAAGCGATGATGGAGGATGTTTGTGGCAATGATTGGCAATTAGCTCTGATGTAGCTTTCTTTATCTGCAACCTTGTACTTAGCTTTGTAATACCTATTTCTTTGAGATGCTCGGTTGTTATGAATGGAAGCAACGAGCCCTCTATATTATTATCAAGGAAACAATCTCCAAGATTTGGTCGATCTCCTAAGTTAAGGGAATTAATATAGTTACAAACTTGGGCTGGATCCCATTGTAAGAACGAATCATTTGTATTTGGTGACGCCATGGTTGACAATGCACTCGTTATAGTTCAATTTTTGATTTTATTAATACTGATTTTATACTCCTGACACCTTTAAATACTTCTGGTGTTTGATATAATATTTACTATCTCAGATTGTTTCAGTCATATGAGTGATCTTTTAAATTTTTCCAGATTGTTGTCTTGTTTTACATTGTAATTTAAATCAAAATTTATGCAAGGGTTATGTAAAGGATCTTCATCCTGTAACAAAATTCGAGAAATCATAGTAAGGAAGCTGTGTGTCTAGATTACGGCTATTATATACAGCAATGACATCCCTATTATCTCCTCAAGTAGGTAAGGTACATGAGTATTTGCCTAGATTAACTGCATTTGAATTTGATGCTAATAAGGACAATACACCCACCCCAAATGTAGTTTTATTCATTGGTGGTTTAAGTGACGGTTTATTGACCGTTCCCTATTTGCCAAGATTGGCGGAGTCAATCGGGTCAATTGATTCTGAACATGGAAAATGGGTACTTGTGCAGGCGTTGATATCATCATCGTATCTGGGATGGGGCACAGGATCACTAGAAGCAGATGCCAAAGAACTTAGTCTTCTTGTGAGGTATCTCAGATCTGAAAAGGGAGGTTCTCGTAAGAAGATTGTGCTTATGGGACATCTGACAGGATGTCAAGATGCCATGCAATATTTAACAAAATTGTGCAAGAAGACGGATGTTGCTGAAGACATATTGTTGGATGGGGTCATTTTGCAAGCACCTGTTTCCGATAGAGAGGCAGTAGGACATTATATGGGGGGTCCGAAGAAGTTGGAACCGTTACTTGAGAAATGTGAAAAAGAGTATCTTTCTGTCGGAAAGGCTAAATATATATTACCCCATGAGTTTGACATATTTGAAACCCCTGTCACAGCGTATCGTTTTTACTCGTTGATGAGTGTTAGAGGAGACGATGATTATTTTTCGTCCGATCTCAATCCCGAGGACTTCAAACAGACTTTTGGTGTTTTTGATAGACCTTTGTTGGTGTTATATGGGTCTAAAGACGAGTGTGTTCCAAATTTTGTCGATAGAGAACGCTTAGTAGAACTGTGGAAAAATGCAACCGACTCCAAGTATTGGAGTCCATTAAGTAAAGTTTTGAAAGGAGCGTCACATAATATTGGACCTACATCTGATGAAGGGACTATAGACGACTTTCTTGAGACTGTTCACAAATTTATTCTGTCAATTTAGGAGAAGCTAAGTTTGAAAATTACTTTTAAACATATAATCTTGACCAAGCTATTGTATGAATCTACAGTTTATAAAAATGTGTATATAAATTTAAGTGTTTGATTTTTGTTATCTAATATGCCATCAACTTTTCAATAATATAATATTGTTTGGGAATTGTAATTGTAAGTCAATGTTTACCGTAAACACTAAAGCGGAAAATTGGAAGTTGCAAATTCACCAGCACCAAAAGTATTATCAAGACTACAATGTGGTTATATGACTAATAAACAATTGAAGGTAAGACGTAATAATCTTCATAATTTACAATATCAATAGAATATGCTCTATGTAAATGTACATTCAACGGTAACAAGCCCCAATCTAAAAAACAATATCGTGATAATAATATCTGTTTCGACCTATAAACCGACACAGCATTAGATTTCTCAGCTTATCAGAAGAAATTGACCTATAGGAAACAAGATAAGTAAAAAAAGAAGCTCCTTTTGATTGTTATAATTGTGAGGCTTTAAAACTTTTGAAAGGGATATTTCGCAATTATGATGTGAAGACATAGGTTTAGCCATACTTATATTCGCTTGTGTGGTTGAATTGTATGCACACATCATAAGATATCCGCCATAATATTAGTGGGGTATATATATATATTACTAATCTATATTGAAAACATCAGCAGATACAGTAACTGTGGTGGCTCTCAATATTGCAAGTTGCAGCGTTTTTTCTCAACCAAAATGCTGCAATATTTAAAGACCTTAATTGCCAACAATGTATCTACGGTTGAATAGAAGTAAATATCAATATCAATAATAAATTAAAATGGCTCCAGTCAAATACACTAATCCAGGTACCACCTTTGAAAAAAAGAGAGGAGAGCTCTCGGAGGATGGTTTACTAACCGTTCCAAAGAGTCACCATGAAGATTCTAAGCATCCAGAGTTTTTACCAACCTGGGATTTAAAAGAATTCTACAAGCCCTTAGAGTTTTTTGAACATAAGGACCCAGGATCAAGAGCTGACCCAGAACTCCAAAATTTATTCCCAAAAGATTCGAAGCATGAATTGAAAAATGTCACCCCGAAGTTGGGAACAGAGGTAACTGGTATCCAATTGTCACAATTAGACGATAAAGCGAAAGATGACTTAGCACTTTTTGTCGCCAAAAGAGGTCTTGTCATTTTCAGGGATCAAGATTTTTCATCTAAGGGTCCTCAATTTGTCTCAGACTACGGTAAGCATTTTGGTCCTTTACACATCCACCCTACAACTGGTTCCCCTAAAGGACATTCTGAAATTCATGTCGTTTATAGACGCAATGACTACAATGAAGCATTAACGTTTGCTAACAGAACTAACTTAGTTCAATGGCATTCTGATGTTAGTTATGAATTGCAACCTCCTGGAACAACCTTCTTTTCCGTTATTGAGGGACCTGAGTCTGGTGGTGATACTCTTTTTGCCGATACTGTTGAAGCTTATAACAGATTGTCACCTAGACTTAAAGAATTGATAGAAGGATTACATGTGTTACATTCTTCCGAGGAACAAGCAAAATTTTCACGTAAAGAGGGTGGTGCAGAAAGACGTGATCCTGTTAGAAACGTACATCCTCTTGTTAGGGTTCACCCTGTCACAGGTGACAAGATCCTTTATGTGAACCCTGGTTTCTCAAGAAAAATTGTAGAATTCAAACAAGAGGAAAGTGATGCTTTATTAAACTTCTTATATAACCATATTGGCAATTCTCATGATCTCCAAGCAAGAGTAAACTGGGAACCAAATAGTGTTGTGGTCTGGGACAATAGAAGAGTTTCCCATACGGCTATTATTGATTGGGATTCAGATTCGAACCATACTAGACATGCGTTCCGTGTTACACCCCAAGCTGAAAGACCGATTGCAGATATAAAGGATTTGAATAAGCGGGATGAGAATAGGCATATTCCTAAAGACTCTATTTAGAAAAGGCTCTCTATAATATACATCAGGTATGAAAAGTTCTCATAAAATTTCTCTCAGAATAACCTTTAACAATTCTC